CTTGGAAGAAGACTAAGGTGTTGCTCGGTCAATGCACTGAAAATTACAAGTCCCCAACCAAGAAGTACCTCCTTACTCGAGAACTTGGGGGGCTTCTGTTTATACCATATTCGACCAAGCAACTAGAAGCAATTCTAAGCAAGGCCAAGAGTCCCACATTGAAATATTGCAAGAAGTGAAGACTCCCTCTCACCTATAAAAGGAGACCACTCTCCACCTAGGAAGGGATCCCCCTTGGTTGGGCTTGATCTTTAGTCTCTCTTCTCTTTATATTTGGGCCCAGCCCCTTGTACAAATGTAAATACACATTGTTATAATAATGAGAATACACTTCTCCGTGGACGTAGCCCATTCATTAAGGGTGAACCACGTATATCTTGTCTTCTGTATATTTATCGCTTGTCAAATCCTCACACACTTGATGAAGGTCCTAACCTTCACTCATCATCTATCACACCTCATCTCTAAGTTGACCCTCAAAGTCCTAAACCACTTTTTGGCGTCAACAGTAGTTGATGTACATGTATTCGTATTCTGAAGTTGTTAGAACTGTTTGATTGGCTATGTGAAATTCAAACTGCGGATATATCATCGTGGAATGAAGCCTAACCAGGTAAGAAAACATGGAATCTACAGGGAATTCCCAGGTGAGATTGTAGTTCTGGTTCATGGTAGCGTTTATGCGCATAGACCGGGCGGTTTGGTAAACTTGCTTTGGCGCTGTGTACGCTGGTATTTCAGAAAAGTTGAGTTGAATACTCAAGTTTTGTGTTAGAACGCTCCTTCTTAAACTTACGTTGTCCAAGTAATTCCGCTCCTCTGGGAAACCATCCCAATTGCGGTACATGCCAGTGTCTTGATTGGAAGAGATTGAGTTTCCACCGACGTTTATTCTGTAGACCATCTCCAGAGCAGTGCTGTTTTCGAGGGAAAAGTAGCTTCCGGTGCCTATAGTTTCAATCTGACGGCCACTTTCGGGTAAACCGTAGTAAAGATCGGTGGGCATGGACACAATTTCAATTCCGTTGATAAACGCATACGCATCTGGGATTGTTATGCTCGGAGTGAATGTGATGTTCAAGCTCTCTTCTTTATACATGTTCAAACAGAACTCTTTGTATATTCTGTCCAACCCAGACGCATCGGCAGTGACTGAAGCATTGAAGTCGTGGAGAAGGTTAAAGCCCCTGGCTTTGACTGAGAAGATGGCTTTGGATCGGTCAAAGTCAGGGCCATAAGAAACTGGGTTGAAATACAAGCGGATGAACTTCTGGCCACTTGTGATTTTAAAACTGTAAGTAAATTCAGAGCGAGAAAGTCGCACTGTGGTGTAAGGCACTTGTTGGACGGTGTTCGAATGAGGTGCTTGTTTGAATATGGATGTGTTACCAACTGCTTGGCGTTCAAGGGGGGAAAATTTTGAGTTGATATCTCCAGTCCAATTTCGGCGATCATGTTCGTTGAACGAGTTGCCGGAATAACCACATTTGACGGTGATATCTTCCACCGGAGTGTAGATAGGTGGCGAATCTCCAGCCGCCACGAGTAGGATGACGATGGTGGACAGAAACAAGGAAAGGTAAAGAGAAGTGAGACACGATTTTATGGGTGTATAAAGGTATTTGCAAGAGAAAGAGAAGTTGTTCATGATACTAATTATATATAGCAAGAGAAAGAGAAGGTTGAGGTGTAAGTGTTGATGGAGATAAAATGGGTTCTTGCCCGGTTTTCTGTGCTCTGCACTTAGTACGCGTTTCTCTTTGATATAACTTTTAATGTCTGATGATTAATCTAAAGACTTTGCCTATTAAATTTTTGGTAGTAAACTATTGAAAGAGTTTCCGTCCAAATGTCGATCAGTCAATTAATTACCATTAGTTTCCTTATGCATACGGTGGAATGTAAGTGCTTGGGTTCTTGTCCGGTTTTCTGTGCTCTGCACTTAGTACGCGTTTCTCTTTGATATAACTTTTAATGTCTGATGATTAATCTAAAGACTTTGCCTATTAAATTTTTGGTAGTAAACTATTGAAAGAGTTTCCGTCCAAATGTCGATCAGTCAATTAATTACCATTAGTTTCCTTATGCATACGGTGGACTTGACGATTGATTTGGTCCCCAACATGTACAGAAGGATATTCTACCGAAATTTTGAGAGAAACTTCGCGCTTGGAAAATTTCTTTTCTTTTTCTAATTCCGGTTTGGCCTATATGTAGGTATATAAATTTTTACACAAATCTCCTCCTTCTAACCTTAATCAGCCCCAAAATCAGAGAGAGGAAGAAGAAGTGAAAAAAAAAAAAGGAGAGAGAGGAAGAAGGGGAAGAGAGAGAGAGAGAGAGAGAGATGAGAGCATGCGTGAGAAAGAGGAAGTTTGTGTGCGCGCCACGTGATGTTCATGTGTGAATTTTGATGGAACTTTGAATGAAATAATTTGAAAACTAACGGGAGGGGTGAAATTAGAGAAATCATGTAGTTCGAGTGCTAAATTGGTAAATTTTTTGGTTCAAGGGGGTAAGTTCGATTAGGATGATAGTTCAGGGAGTAAAGTAAACAACTGAAAATCCTTGTTATTATGAAATAGAGGCATTTATTAGGATTTCTCCATTTATGGAATATTAGTTGATGTTTTTACCGGACTTTAATAAAAATTCCTAAATCATAGAATCAGTTTATTATGTGAGGCAACCAAATGAATGATTTTTCATCAACCCCAAAAAAAAAAAAACCAAATGAATGATTTTAGGATATTAACGAGAGTGGCATGTTTTGTAATATGGGTAGATTGTTAGGTGTGTTTTAATCCTAGGTGGCTCAATATTTTAAATTTGAGCTTGATCTAGTACTTGAAAAGTCAATAAGCTATTAATACTTTCAAGGGCTAAGCTCTGAGTGACCCTTTAATTAATCACAAACCATTACATAAAAAATTAATCTAGTTGGCCATGGAATGCATAATTACAAATTAAGGATTAATGAAATGCAATATGATTTAAAGAGCCATTGCAATATTAATTTTGCATGCAATTATGGGCTCACGCGTACAAATTGTCAAAAATATAGTTGCTCATCATCACCTCCCACTGGGATCCCTGATCTCAGAGAAGATGGTGGCGGATATGCATTTAATGGATTCATCGGTCACACAACTTTGCTCACTACTACTAGCGTTGCTTTCAACGCAGTTGCGATGAAGCTGCAATGCAAACTCAAGCCCCCTCACAACATCATTCATCGATGGTCGTTCGATGCCATTATCATGCATGCAACTCATTGAAATCTCAACAAACTTATTCAAGCCCTCAGTTTCAATCATTTTACCACCCCTATGAACGCTTGGGTCAATAATTTGATCCAGTTTCCCATCATGGTAACATCTCTTGGCCCACTGAGCCAAGTTGATTTGCCCCAGCTCCACTGTATCTGTATGCATCACGGCTGGCCTACCACACAACACCTCACACAACACTACCCCAAATGAATACACATCTGACTTCTCAGTCAGCCGTTGTAGTCGGTAATATTCCGGGTCCAGATACCCGAAACTTCCTTTCACCACTGTGCTGATGTGAGTCTTGGACGTGTCGGCAGTGCCCATTTTTGACAACCCAAAATCAGAAACCTTGGCCACCCATTTCTCGTCCAACAAGATGTTGGTGCTCTTCACGTCGCGGTGGATGATGTTGCCCTTAGCCCCACTGTGAAGGTACTGCAGCCCCCCCATTGTGGAGGTACTGCAGCCCTCGCGCAGCACCTATACAAATATGAAGCCGCTGTTCCCAAGAAAGAAGAGGAGGCGGAGGTAGGTTATCTTTGTGGTGGTAGAGATGGTCAGCTAGAGTCCCCCGTGCCATGTAATCGTACACCAAAATCATTTCACCATTATCACTTGAATATCCGATGAGAGAAACCAAATGGCGATGGCGAAGCTGCGAGAGCATTTCAATCTCCGTCTTGAACTCGTGCGCCCCTTGTGATGACTCGGGTTTCAGCCGTTTGATTGCAACCGGAGTGACCCCGCCATCAATACATCCTTTGTACACGTTTCCGAACCCTCCAACTCCAATAATAAAACCACTGTTAAAGTTTTGGGTGGCGGCTTTGATCTCTGCCAGTGAAAAGTAACGACACGAATAAGGCGGTAAAGAATTGGCACTCGAGGACTTGGCTTTCCTCCTATTTCGCCTGAAAAGCAAGAATGTTCCTACGAGGGCAGAAATCAGGACAACTATGCCGGAAACTGCACCAGCAACAATGACGTGCATATGCGTCAGTTTTGGTCGAGGTACGTGGTGACGTGGGTCTGGGTTGGGTCCGGCGAGATTTCCTCTTGAGTTATTCAGTTTGAAGATTTCAAGCCCATTCAATAATGCGCTGTTGGATGGGCCATACATAGCGATAGAAAGATTTGTCTTCTTCTGGCTGCTTCCAGAGCTATCCATGGACACAACGTAGTCTCTGTACAATGGAATTCCAGGTCCACCACGCCATGCCAATATGTTGGCCTGCTCTTCAGCTCTGTGATCGGCTATGTAAATTTCAAACGATCTAAAATGTTCGACCGGTGGGATCTCACAAAAATGCATCCTAACTAGGTAAGCAAACTCGAAGTCTACAGGGAATTCCCAGCTGAGATTGTAGTTCTTGGTTGAGTCCGCGCTCATTATTGACCGGCCAGTTTGGTAAACTTGTGTTGGCGCTGCGTAGTTTGCTATTTCGGAATAGCCGAGTGTAATATTGGCATATTCTATCCTGCTGAAAATCAAACTTGAAGCTTCCAAATAATTTTGCTCCTTTTCCAAGCCATCCCAATTGCGGTACATGCCACTGTCGTTTTGAATGGAGAGTGAGATTCAACCTACGTTCATTCGATAGACCGTCTCCAGAGCAGTGCTGTTTCCGACGCGAAACTCCTTTCCTCCGTCGTTGCCTACATAACTAGTTACCCCATCGGGTACAGTGTAGTTGAAATTGGTAGGCATGGATACGATCTCAATTCCGTTGATAAAAGCGTACGCATCTAGGCTTGATTGGCTTGGAGTAAATGTGATGTTGAGGAGCTTTTTTCCATCAACGTTCAAACAGAACTCTCTGCACAGCGTCTCCACGCCATAAGCATCTGCGGTGACTGAAGCACTGAAGTCGTGGAGAAAGGTATAGCCACCGGCTGCGACAGAGAAAAGTGCTTTAGAGCGGTCCAAGTCAGGGCCATATGAAACTGGGTTGAAGTACAAGCGAATGAACTTTTGGCCGTCCGTAGCAAGGGAAAACCTGTAAGTAAATGCAGAACGAGAAAGCCGAGCCCAGGTGTAAGGCATTTTGGTGACGGAGGAGGACGGTGGAGCTTCTCTGCCTACGGATGCTTGACCAGACTGGTGTTCTTCTAAGGGGGAATATTTTGATAACACATCTCCAATCCAATGTCGGAGGTGATCAGGCGAATTGAATTGGGGGACGGTATAGCCGCATGCAACGTGGATCAAATCGGACCCGTCATCTTGGGCCACCACTAGGGTGAGGATCATGTGTAGAAACAGAGATAATAGGTAAAGAGGTTTTAAGGTTGCATAAAGGTGTTTGCTGCTTGTGACGTTCTTCATGATATGAAATATAGCAAACAGAGAAATAATTGAAACAGCTTAGGGGGCGGCGCCGGGGTGGGGGGCGTGGGTGGGTGTTGAATTAATGTTGATGGAGGATCATGAAATGGGAAAGCTGCTTGATTGCTCGGGTTCTTGCTCTGTTTCTCACTTGATTGCTCGGGTTCTTGCTTGTCCTGATTAAATTTTTGCGTCCTTAATTCAGTGGCTTAGGATTCAGGGTTTTGGGTCAAGTCAAGACTTGAGGAATTAATTAGTCCTGCAAGCAATTGGCAAAAGTCCTGAGTCATTACTTATTGTTATTAGTGGAACTTTCGTCCAAAAAAAAAAAATTGTTATTAGTGGGAAAGTCCATGTCGATAACGACATATTAGGGAGCCGGGTCTTGTTTGGATTCTTTAGGGAGCCGGGTCTTGCTCTGTTTCTCACTTGATTGCCCGGGTAATTGCTTGAATAGTAACTATGAATTTCAAAATTTGTAAGGGAGCCGGGTCTTGTTTGGATTCTTACCCCCCGACTCAAATCTGAAAAAACTTTTTGTGTCAAGTGACTCTCAAATCTCTCTATCCATCAAAACCACAAGTCTTCAATAAGGGCCCGTCAATTCACATCCATCCACATCCACTGGAGTATATACCATAGTTAATCATGGTTGAAAGATTTTTTCTTCAAAATTTGTAAGTTCTTGTTCTAACCACCTTTTTGTTTTTTTCTTTGGGGGGTGTCAAATTCTAACTACCATTCTTGATAATGAATTTGTAAGTGTTAGCGAGTCTTACTGTGTTAGGATTTTAGTTACTTACTTATTTGTTTAGTCATATTATAATTGAGATTTATTTTTTTATTGTAATTTGAATTTATTTCCTATTTTATTTAGGGTTATACTTCCTTATAAATACTTTCATATTGGACTCGAGAGGTTGGCATGATTAGGAGATAGACTCAGACTTATCATATTACTCTTGTATAGAAGCTATTCTAATTGAAATACACTCTTAATCCTATATGGATTGAACAAACCACTCCTAATGCAAACAGATTACTCGACAGCTCCTTGATGGGCAAGGCTTTCGAGTAATGCATCTATATAAAGAGCTCCCTTCTCTAGCAACAATATACGCTCAATTCAGATCTCACCCCATCTAGAGAAATAGCCTACGGTGTTGCATAGAGAAGAAGATCCTCTCAGAAGCTAAGCCGATCCCTTCAGAAATCAAGATGTCTGAACAAGGTTAGTGTTAAGTTATAAAGACCTAGTATAGTTTTACAAAGAATACATATATGAGCATAATTGAATATTTGCCCTACGTTGTTTGACAGTAAGGGAGTCGGTTGACGGTGTTTGGATTCTTACGCCGGTCTCGAATCTGGAAAAGCTTTTTGTGTCAAGTGACTCTCAGCTCTCTACCCGTGAAGAATACAAATCATCCACATCCACATGACCGACATCCCCCGGAGAGTAGTTGACGAGGGTGGTAGACTGACTATACAGAATTTGTACAGAGATTAACTAGTGATGTGAAAGAAAAATAAACTAGGACTACAAAACACTACAATCGATTGAAATAAAATTGATTGGGTAGAGGAATATCTTTGCGAGATATTATTGTGGAACTTGGTTGTGTGTGGGAATTGGTTTCAAACTAACATAACAAATAAAAATCCCCAACAATTGGGTTTTGATAGGGTAATTACCTTTGCTTTGCATGTAATTTGGGAAGTGTTAAACCTTTGAAGTTTAGGGATGCCAATGATTTTCCTAATAACAAATTTTGTTTTCTGTAATTTTACTTAATTTTCCAAGGTTTTTCATTTTCTCAGAACTGAAAGTTTTTTTTATTTTTCTTGCTTGTTGTTTGTAGGTAAAATTTGATTGTGTTTTTTCTTCCCGTTTATTGGTATTGATAAGGTTTATTTTTTAAGATGTTAACTTGCTGTTGTAGTGAAAAATATAAGTTTGTATTACAAACTTTACCTGTAGCATAGGTATATATGCCAGACGTTTGTGTGTTCCAGTAATGGTTTATGTAAAATATTTATCAATTACATTTGCATTTAAATTTTGCAGGTTTTTTTCCACTTGCTTTTGCCATCTTCGATTCTGAAAATGAAGCCAGACATGGTTTCTGCAAACTCTAGCCATAAAATGCCCTTGGTTAATGCAAATATTAAGAATTAAAATTATTAATTAAATGAGGATAATATGGTAAATTTACACTTTTTCATATTTAAAAAAATTAAAATGAAAAGAAAAATCATATAATGGCCTATTTTTATGGAACACAACTACCCATTATTATTTTTAATTCTAAAATGAATTTTAACTTTTTTTTTAAAAACCCTCTCGCAGGCGCGGAAGCGCGTGCGGAGAGGCTATTATATATATATGTAAGATGTTGGGTTATTCTAACCTACCTACATAAGGGGTCTTTTAATCATCATAGGGTTTTCTTGGGCTCAATATTGATCATGGACTCAATTACTACTCGGGGCGTAGCCTTTGTATATATATATATATATATATATATATATATATATATATATATCTTTGATACCTCAATTACTACTATAATAAGCATAAAAAAAACCCTACTATAATAAAGTAAAATATTAAAGAATTTTAAGAAGAAAAAACACAAAAATGAAAGCAGGGACTGTAAAATGGAGTTTATTTTGGGTGTGTTTATAGTTTTTAAATAGTATAGTGTTTCTTTATAAGACTATGTCTAAGATTGGATATATAACTAAATTCCTATATTTTCTTCTATAGCTGTGCTTTTGTAGGCTATAAGTGAGAGATCTCTTTTGTGAAGGACTCTTCATTCAATAATCAGCTCCACTAAAACAGGAACCGCCAACCTCTCTTGAGAGTTTTAATTGGTTGGTCAAACTCCCCTATCTCAAGCCTTGTCATGCTATTTATCAGCTAGCTTTGAGGATAAAATAAACTCCAATTTGAAAAGCCCAACAGCCTTCTTCCCACAATTTATGAAAACCTGATCCCTTCCTTTTCTTTAGGAACAAGATCAAAGCCAATTTGACTTCTTTGTTGTTTCAATGCATGTGGGTATCAAACCCACTCAAAGTTGTGGGACTTATCCAATTCCACGTGAATTTTTTTTTATTGAATTTTTTTAGTTCAACACAATGCTAATTAATATTAATATTAATATTAATATTAAATTATCATTATCTTCTTTCAAATCTTTTAATTAAGGATTAATTACTGTAGACGTCCTTGAACTATGGCCCCAGTTGCAATTGGGTCCGTGAACTAATTTTTGTGGCAATTACATCCTTTAATTAGATAATAAGGTGCAATTGGGTCATGCCGTAACAGAATTCGTCGAGTTTGACCATGTGAACGGGACGTGCTCTTGTTGTGAGGGGTATATTGGAGTTTTCACGATTGTCATCTCTGTGTCTTGTTGTAAACCTCACGATGGCCAGCTTCATTTGCAGATCGGATGGTGCGCAACCTCATAATAAACATTCATTTGCAGAGATAACATTCATGATACTGATGAGAAGAAGAAGAAAAAGAAAGGAAATTTCAGAGAGAATTGTATTCCTTGAATTGTTTTGTTAATCAGTTTCTACAGAGAGATTACATTATATACTTAACCTTAGCTTTGCTTAGCTTCTAACACACACAGTAACACCTTAACTAACATCACGTGACACCATAACTAATCTAGTGCTGACTCAGCTTAGCTGTTATACAATTACCCTCCCTCAAGCTCAGCTGAGTTCCTTAGTCTGAGATTGGTACAATGCTTAAGAAATATGGGGCTGTGCAATCCTTTTGTAAAACAATCTGCAAGCTGTTCTTCTGTTGGCACATACTGAACCTCAAGATCTTTGTGTCGCACTCTTTCTCGCACGAAGTGAAAATCGGTATCCAAATGTTTGATATGTGAATGAAACACTGGATTGGAGCTAAGAGCCAATGCAGATAGATTGTCACAGTACATGATAGGAGGTGCATGAAGACACAGATGTAAATCTGCAAGCACTTGACGAATCCATGCTAAATCTGCTGCAGTATGAGCCAATGCTCGATACTTTGCCTCAATGGAGCTGCGAGACACAGATCCTTGCCTTTTAGACTGCCATGAAACCGGATTTGCACCAAGGAAAACAATACAGCCTGTGGTAGATCTTCTGGTAGAAGGGTCTGCAGCCCAGTCAGAATCACTATATGCAGACAAGTGCCAAGGACCAGGACCAAAGTGAATACCATATGTAAGAGTACCCTGTATATACCTCAATATCCTTTTAACCATATGAAAATGAACATCAGTTGGTTTGGTCATGTACTGGCAGACTGTGTTTACTGAATATGCTATATCTGGTCTGATAAAAGTTAAATATTGTAAAGCTCCAACAATACTTCTATATAGAGTAGGATCCTGCAAAGGTTCACCATCAGTAGACAACACCTGAGTATGTGGCTTACACGGTGTTGGACAAGGTTTACATGTAGTCATACCAGACCTGTGCAATAGATCCTTTGCGTACTTGGTTTGATTGACAAAGATTGCACCAGGTGTAGGATATGTGTTGCATTCCTACAAGGACACAAATTAATGTGCAAACAACCAATTAAAAATACCCGCAAGTGCACGAATCTATCGAAGTATAGATTATGTAAGT